TTTGTTGATTGATGAAGCGAGTATTAGATTTGTAGTTAGACCACGTGACTATTTCCAATTCGAAATCGTGACTGGAATAATGCTCTACCCCTCTCTCCTTTTTTCCTTTTACGTTCCCTCTCCATTTTCTAGAAATATCACGGGAAAAAACCGTAACAGTTGCACAACTGGTAAAAAAGGAGTTAGCGTTGCCCAAGATTTATTCGCTTCGAAAAAGAAAAGAGAAGTTTTTGAATTAGTGAGGGAAGTTTTCTTTTTAAAAGAAAAAAAAAATTCCGGATAGGGAGGAAAACAGGGGGGCTAGCAGAATCTTGGATGCGGAAATTGAAGGCTGCCGAAACTTGAGCTAGAATCACATTCACGCACGAGTTGTGAAAGAGTAGAGCTGCTGCCAACTCTTTTCCTAGACAAGTGAGCAGAGAGGATGCAGTAGAGCTTCAAGTAATATGAAATGGTGGAATTTTCCTTTCTTTTTCGTCCGGGAAAAAGAAAAAACCGCAGTCGAACTAGATATGTCGGAAGCACCAAGTATTTGGCAGTCGATAGTGGACTAGATATTTTTTAAGATCAAATACTACAGACATTTTTATCTTTAATACTTTTTTTTTTGTTGTTGTTGATGGCATAGATAATAAAATACAGAAGATCAATGCAACAGGAGAGTAAATTTTGTTACAATAAAGAGTTCTATTAATTCTGTTATTAATTTTGTTTAAAATTTGAATTACACCAATTCGAGAGTAAAAAATTAGGTTAATATGCTGAAATGATAAAACAGCTGTAAAATACCATATAGTTTGGTCACCAAAAAATTGCCATACCATAAAACTTAGATTGTAGTAACTTTTGGGGAAAAAAAAGAAAAAAAAAAGAGAAGAATGAAGCAGGACAAATTTGAAGAGAAAAGAGGGACTATATAAAGTTAAAGAGAAAAAACGCTTTAAAAATAAATAAATAAATACATAAATAAATGCAGAATTTTGCTTTTCTTAGTTCAGTGTTATCAGTATCGATAACATTAAGTACAACACTATAGATCCAAATGAATTTACTTTAATAAAATCTAATCAGTCTAATTAATTTCCTTGATTTATTAATTTCATTAAACTCGTCTAAAACTCAAATTGATGTTTTAGATAAAAGAAAAAAAATTTTATTCCCTTCCAACAAATTAATTTACTGGATATTTATTTATTTATTTATCTTAAATTAATCGCATTAAATTTATGCATTATAGTGAAAAGCTGATTTCCAATAGCTGCAAATCTCCCCGTAAGCTTCTCTTGAATAATGAATGGTATTCTGATTGTATTTGTGGACAAACACTTGATTTAATAAAGTAAGATTCTAAATAAAATATCAATCTAAATCAAGTAAAATAGTAAATTACTAAAGACAGATACTTGATTTTATAAATCATGGCTATCCGGGGCGAAGTAATGCTTATGGCTTAATGAGAAGGTTGGTTCTGTTTGCCCTGAAACATAATTGAGCACCAGTCTATACTTCCAAGCAGTTAGTATAATTTTGTGTCTTCCAATTTTATTTCTTTCTTTCAATCATTTTAACTTTCTCTTCCCAAGCTTATGACTTTTGGTTTTCCAATGAGTTGATTCATAAACTAATTCAATACTCGAACCTGCGACATTTAACTTTCATCTTAAATATCATATATATATATATATATATATCGCTCATGGGCTACAATAGTGGCACAACTCAAAAAACACGCGTTTTGGACTAAGAACAGGTGTAAATATAAAAATACACAGCAATACTTGCACAACTCATAATTCAACTTGAAGGTAATCTTCGTTTAAGGAAACGAAAGCATTTCTTATGCATTTTGCATACCAATGAAAACTTTAAACTCACTTATCTCAAAACTTGATTTTTTGAGTTGTGCCGCTATTGCAAGAAATTGTTTTTAAAAGTAAACTTACAGTAATTTCAAAGCAACTATATCTATAAATTTATAAACTTGCAAAATATTGTTTCATATATGATGAATCGCATTTAATTAAATTAATTATAAAATCCATGATATTTTTGAGAGAGAAAAAAAAACCAAAGCACAGCAACAGATAAGAGAGACAAATCCTGCTCAATAAGCAATGTACCGACTTGAATAAAAATCCCCAATTTTCACTCCCTATGGCGAAGTAACAGCTGTGCTTCGTGGCTCTTTGCCGATTCACGTCTTTTAAATTAATGCTCTAAGACAGCAAAGTAAATACTGAATCTTCAATCCTCAAATAAATAAAAAGAAAACTACTGATTCCGTTTTTTTCTTCTTTTACATCCTCTGGTAACTGCCGCCAACTCTTTCCTCTCGTTTCGAACTCTAAAAATCCGGGGCGCTAAGCCCCTGCAATCAATCCACCCGGTCTTCGGGTGAAATCGAAGGCGATGGGGAGATCAGGACTCCGATTTTCTCCGGATTTAGTTGATGGATTTGTGGGGATTTCCCCCTTCTGCGGGATCCACGCTAATATTTTCGGACTGGGAGGAAAAGAAAAAAAAATATCCCAACTAGCATGATCATATCGAAAAAAAAGAAAAAAACATCGCCAAGGAAAAGAACGATATTGGTGACTATTTTGGCGATGAATGGTACGATCAGAGAGAAGACATACGTTTCCTGAATAGAAGAGTGATTTTTCTTGCTGTTTAATGATAAAAAATAAAAAAAATGACATCTTAAAGCGTGAAAAAGTCTACGATATTTTTTTCAGATTTAAGTATTGTAAAGGAGCGTTTTCATTCGTAGGATTGCTTGCAGTGGTCAATAGCTTTTTGTTTGTTTTCTGAGTAAAAAACAAAAAATGTTATGTAAAATTATAATCTAATGTATATTTCTAAGAGATCAGTAGCTTTTCGTTTTCTTCCTAAGTAAGAAAAAAATATGCAAATTTATAATCCAATGCATATTTTGAATTCAATATATATTTTTAAGATGTGAATAGCTTTTTCTTTGCTTTCTAAATAGAAAAATAAAACATCATGCAAAATTATAATCCAATGTATATTTTGAATTGCATCTTCGTTGGTATACATTAAAAGCGTTTTTTGTAGCTTTTACGCTAAAATAAATGAAAAAAAAAAATTAAAATTCGAACAAAATTTTTGTTTTAAACTTAGTATAATATATTCCCGAAAATACTGAACTTTGAGGGATCCTTCCGTATTTGGTAACATTTTCTTACTTAGATGAAAAATCATTAAGATCAATGAAGATTTTTTATTTTTGCGTATCTTAATGAGTTCAAACAAAACAATCTAAGAGTTAAAATAAAATTCCCTGACAACTCCAGGTTTTTCCCTTACCCAATCGAGCCCCTGAAGCTTAAAACAGTTATAAAAATAGCACATTAATCGTTAAAAATCGTCATTTTTACATAACGAAAGATAATGAAATATACAACCGAAAATTTTAAAATTGAATAATACTAAATAAAAGTTGCATATGAGAGAAGCTCAAGACATGCTTAAAAATATCAAAGCAGCTATATTTTGACGAGAGTATAAAATGTAAACCTATGTGTAATATACATTCCTCTAATAATTAAATTTTGATGCAATTATAAATTTTTATCATGGAAAATAAAAACGAATTTAAGCAAAAGGTGCAATATACAAAATGTACTTATTCCCTTTAAAAAGTTACTATCAAAAGCACGCAATACGTCATTAAAAAATTATAATCAAGATATTGGAACTTGCTTTACCTAAGAACACTATTTAAATAAAGAGTCACAATAAGAATTCATGGAATTATTAGAAATAAAAATTGCTACATACTTTAAAAAATGTAATTTTTCTTTACGTAAAAGATTATAAGATTGAATCTTTTAATGCATAGTTTTAATATTTTTTTTTAGTTAGAGAAATATATAATATACTTTAAAAAACGAAATAATTTCTTTAACAAATTGATAGATATTAACAAAAATGTCAAAAGAAGATATTTTGTTTATTTGATATTAGAAAAGTCGATAAAATAGAAAGACTAATACATACAAACTGAAATAATTAAATAAAGCAAATAAAAATGTCTTTCCAAACTGTCGAGTAGACAGAAAAAAGAAAGAGAAAATTAAATTATCTTCAATTTAAAGCTTGGAATAAGAAGTGTTTATGACATTTATATTTTCTTTTTTATTTTATTTATATAACTGACATTTATATATATATTTTTTCCCTTTCTTGAGACTATAAAAAATTTTTTCTTCTTTTCTTCTTCGTGACGGAAACAGTAAAACATTTTCTTAATTTACACTGCTATAATGTGACCATAATTAAAACAAAAAGGTCAAATTTACGTAAGAGTACTAGTGAATATTTTGAGTTTAAATTACTATCTAGTTAAAATATGCAGTAAAAAATTATAACTTTTCATTGGATATTTCACGTATGAAGATTAAAAGCGAAATAATGCTATTCAACTTAGCTTCTCTGTTGAGAAAGCTTGTTGTGCTGGAAAACATTCTACGAGTTCAGGAAAATTTTAGTAAAATAACTGAAATTTTTTACTTTAACTTTGTTTAACTAAGTTAATTTTATCTTTAACAAAGTTAACAAACAAACAAGATTTAACAAACATCTTTACAAATTTTATCTTTAACTAAGTTAAACTTTGCTTCACCAACGAAAGCAAACGTTTAGGAAAATTAGGATAATTTTTTTCCTGTTGGACTTCGAAGCAATATTTCTGTGGAAAACATTGCTTGAAGAGCAGAAAAACAAATTCTGTGCACAATAAGATTTATGTTAACTGATATTTACTAGAGTTTGGTTACAAAAAAATAAATAAATAATACAAAATAAAAATAATATAACAGGACAGTTACCGAATTCTACGAATTTGAGATAAATAAAAGGATTAAAATAATTCTCTATAAATGTCAAATACTTTAAGTGTAACAACTAACTATAACATATCTCAAACTAGTCGTAAAACCATAATTGAAATTGATATTGATTTTTTTTCTTCTACTTACTTAATAGCTGTTAATTTTGTCTGGTCCTTGCTTTTGATAGGTATTGTACTATTTCGTTGCGAACATATTCTACCAACAGTCATAAAAAGAAACAATACTGATGCCTGTAAAAAAGATATAGCACATTTATATTAAAATTTTGATGAAATCTGAACACTTTTAATAAGAGTCTGCTAAAATGTTCTCTAAGTTTACAAATATTTTATTCAGGGACCTTATTTACATAAGAACACTCTTAGAAATGTTATCGAACTCTTTTCAAATTCTGGTCAAAGGAGAGGAACTTGATAAAATTTCTTTTTAACAGTAGAGTGTTCTCCTGTTATTATTGAACTTTTCAGCTCTAAGATATGATAAAATTTTGCCAAATGTGTTGATAAAAACATTTGTAACTAATTTGAGTTGTTGTCAACCAAAGAGTTCTTATTTGCAATTCCGTAGAGCAAATATGCAACGCGCCATCTAAATAAAAGCCTGCGATTCTGATAAATATTGACAAAACTATATATCAGCATGACATAGCTCCACAGTGGACTGATGTAAGGCATGGTTCGCAGTAGAAGTCCAGCATCACTGGCAGAAGTCAGTGAGCTGATGAGTGACCACTTTGATGTGCCTTCGAAACTATTCTATTGCAGTGCTAGACTTCGCGCGAAAATCACTGGGTTACCAAAGAGGAGGAGTTATCCCCTCAGCCGAGGATCAAAATTGTGATGGCATGCCTTCAGATCATCCTCAGGAATGTTTTCCAGACAAGTGTTAGTTCCCTTGCTGCCGTGCTAACAATAAGAGGTTTTCATGGTTTTTCTCCCAATGCAACTCAAATGTGCATTAGTTCCAGCAAACAGTCCTGCACGAAGATTTTTTTCTCCCAATGCTTAATTCAGTAACTCCCTAGTGTTCTAGGTTGGGTTCAAAATTACAAAGTTGAGCATTGGTAGTTGTTAACTCGGAATTGTGTCCTGTTCAACGCCGTTTATAAAATAAAACAGTCCCTACTGCAACGTAAAGTACTACTCTCTGTATGCCAGGCCTTAAAGGGTTATTTGTAAGTGGGAATTGATGACAACATCTCAGCGTACTACGTCCTCTGCATAACCGCAAAATAGATAAGTGTCGTAAATTTTCTGACATAAATTTTAAAAAAAATCTACGTCACAAGCCTGTTCTGCGGATGCGCATAGGACGCAATACATTGAGATATTGACATCAGAGCCCACTGTGAAATAACTTTAAAATTACTTCAAAATTTATATAGAGAACATGTAATGTCATACTCCATCTGTTAGTTAACTGTGTTTTTTTTTCACCATACTCCATCTGTTAGTTAACTGTGTTTTTTTCACAACTTATTAAAGAGTAAAAGGGTGACGTTGATATGTAATATTTAAAAAGGTCTTTACATATATTTACATATTAATGACGTCATCTTATAAAGAAAAATAAGACAAAGCATTAAGTATCAACTCACCCGTAATAAAGTATCAACGAAAACATAAAGTATCAACTCACCAAAGCGCATGCTATGGCTGGTCCACCAAAACTGAAAACATAATAATTGTCCACTCTTAGCCAGCAATAGCTTGCAGTGCCATAACTGGCAGGGTCTATCATGGCTGATATGGCAACAACTATGGCTGGAACTCCATATGCGACGGCAGAATACCATTTAACTCGCCATCGATCGGGGTGTACATCTGCTTCTCCCAGTAAAATGTAAAGATGGAAGCTGTCTAAAAAGGCCCACGCAAAAGCTGCCAAAAGTAGGTAATGTAAAAGACCAGCTAGTACAGAACAAGCTTTGGGTTCTTCCGTTTGTTCTAGGCCAATTACAAGAGCGGCTTCCGCTAACAATAGACACAAGCAAAGGTGTTTATGTATTGTCACACGTTCTGTTCGCAGACATCTAGGAAGAAAAAGAAAATAATTAATTAATTACATTTGTATATACATAAAATTAAAGTATTAACTGTAATTTGATCTGGTTAGGAAACAAAACACGAATTCAAGCGACGCTAAACCAAGATGAAAGAAGCAATATGCCACTTGCATTATTCATTATTCAATAGAGCTGCCATGTTGCTAACAAGCTAAGAATTAACAAAACACGTTGATCTTGGCCTAGCGAAGCTGCTTTTTCATTAAAAAAAAGTTATTAAAAAATTATTTCATTTCTAGCATAGATTTTTACAGTAAAAATCAAGTTTCGTGGGAAAAAGGTAAGGGTTTCCATTCAAAAATTTCTCTTTGTAACTACAACCGTAGAGCTGTAATATTATAACGAACGTTTACATCTTATAATACTTTTATGCAAAATTTAACTCCTTTCAAAAAAAAATTTTGGGCAAAATTTTACAAAAATTATCACTTAAAAAAAAAAATCCAATTCTTTCTTAAACTCAAACCCAATGCATTACATTAGATTGTAAAATATTGAAAAAAAAATATTGGCAATCAGAAATTTTCTTTTTCAAAAGTAATCTCGTCATACAAAAATTGAGTGCATAAAAAATTTCAAACTATAGTACAATTAAAAAAACAAATGATTCTTTCAAATAATAAAATAAACCACTTAAAAACTCAAGCAGGCAACCGAAATGGTACATTAAATAAATGAAAATCTCGTTAACAACTCTTCAATTATTTATAATATCAGTTTTTTTTTCTTCCAGCATGTCTTTCATTAATATTTTTTCAAACATCTCTTAGTTTATTAAAGGAAATGGAACTATTTTTTTTCTTTCATTACCGTAAACTGTTGTGTGAAAAATAAAGTTCTTTTCTTCGCTACTAAATAAGAGGACAGCAGGAAAAATAGCTTTTCAACGGGAGAAAATAAATTATAAAACATGTAATAACAAATGATGTACTTTTTAGAATGCGTTTTTGTGCTTCAAAACAAGTTTTTTTTTCTTTAAAAAAAGCCGTTTAGATTTTTTAAAGCTTTTCCATGGTATAATTGAGCATTAATACACCGCACCTTTAGTGGAGAATACGATGTTGCCATTATTTAAAATATATTAACATAACTTCAGCATTTAAAAGAAGGAGAGTAAAAAAAATATTATATGAAGCTGCAAAAGAATGAAAAAAATATTCGTAGCATAACTTATTTTTCTTATTCTTTTTAAATATTTCTTCCAGAACGGGATGTTGATTTTAGGGGGAAAATTTAAATAAAAACAATTAACATAAAAGAATATTTTGTTTAATTAATAAGCTTTTAAAAATTAATAAAAAAAGGAGCAAATATTTGTTTTGAAGAAAAGTTTCTTAAAATCTTTTAATTTGAAAATTCTTTAAAAAAAATTGAAGTAAATAAAAATAGAACAGTGATATAAGTTTATTCAGATATAATTTTTTTCATTTAATTTTAATGCAAAAATAAATATACATAAATTTTTTTTTTAAAAAATGCATTTTAACTACTTTTTTTATTTTTTTAAATTATGTACAAGACATAATTAACTTTTATTTTTAAAATAATTTTTCTAAAAAAACTATTTAGTAATAAAATTATAATTTAGATCTTACATAACATCTTTCATCATCATATCAACAATAATCATATTAATCATTACATCATTTAGCTCATAATAAAAAATTTGGTACGATTTTAAATAAATTCGAATAATTTCGTAATGAAATTTATAATATTGGCAACAATGAGAAAAACTATATTCTTTACCAAACGATTTGAATCGGAAAAAAAAATTTTTTTTTGATTAATTAAACATAATTTTGTACTTGCAGAATTAAAAAAATGTAATTCTCATTATAATTAAGCAAACTATGTATACTAAATACATATGTGTATATAATGATAACAAAAATGAAAATTATCCATTTATAAGACACAAGTGTATAGTTTTTTTTCCACAATAGATCGGATTCTATGCAAATTTTTTTTATTTTCAAAAGTTACTGAAACTGTAATAATCGTTTACCAAACAGTGTGAAACGTGAAAGTATCGTTAGTGTGTGCTACGTGAAAGTATCGTTAGTGTGTGTTGCGTGAAAGTATCGTTAGTGTGTGTTAAATGAAAGTATCGTTAGTGTGTGTTACGTGAAAGTATCGTTAGTGTGTGTTACGTGAAAGTATCGTTAGTGTGTGTTACGTGAAAGTATTGTTAGTGTGTGTTACGTGAAAGTATCGTAATGAGAAGAAGGAAAACAAATCACGCAAGCATGGGATAGTGATATACATATTTTCTTCCAAGCGGGAAAAATTTTGAATAATGCATTATTTAAAGGATAACAAATATGGTGCAAAAATAATAAAATTTCCAAAAATTAGATTTTGGAAATTTATAAAATTACAATACATAAAATTACAATATATATATACGCAACACACACTTTAGATAAACATTTTACACAATAAAAATTCACTCCGAGTCTTAAAATCAATTTGGAGCATTTTCAGAAAAATCTAACTAACCCCACATATACTACTGTTAAATTGGATTCCATGTTTCATCCTTTTTTTAGAGTTAAATTATTAAATTACTTCAAGGGTACTTGAACAGAACTTAACTTAATCGCATCAAGTTTCTGATAGTTAATGAGCCCTTGAAGGTCTTTGCTCTGTTATGTGCCAACACAATTTTTTCTACGCAACTGCTTTTTCTGGGCAAACTTACGCAAACCGTGCACGTTCTTGGCAAAAACACTTCCGACCAATCAAACAACAGCTATCTTGGCGTAATTCTTCTGTCTTTTGTACATTCTTCCCTCGCAATTAGATCGAACAAATTACATCACCCCACAACCCACCGCCTTCCTCTGAGGTCTCTCAACACCAACAGCCCATCTCAATGACGTTCTTTGTTGGTCGACAATTACGCCAGAAATGTTACTTTTAATCCACTTTTCCTGATATAGTCCACCCTGAAAAGGTCCTGGTTAATAGACCACGAAAATGTTCCATCTGCCCCTCCTTAAAAGAGTGTATGAATAACATTCCATTTTCTGCGTCTTTTTCTTCGAAAGGTTGTGCCCCAAGGATTATGAATTATGAAGAATATGGGTTTTCCAAGAATGTTTTTTTAAGCAGAAGAAAAAAGATGCGGAAGACGATTAAAATTTTGGTATGTTAAAACTTATTTTTTAGGAATAGTAGGGATTTTATGGTAAATACACGAGTCGTGTTTTTGCTAAACATAGTAAACGTTATAAAGATTACTTTTACCTTTAGTCAAAGTAACTTCAATTAGCATGAATTATTTTCACTTTCCGTAAGAAAAAGTTGTTAGCTATCCGTAACAGACTTAACACAACAATATATATTTAGTATTCTAATACTCTTTGAATATTTGCAATTAATGGAAAATAAGGAAGAAAAAAAACTGGATGGTGTTTACAAGTTATTTTACAAATATACGATATTATTATCAACCGTTGCAGATAGTTAATGATTTGCGAAAATTGGTACTAATTTAATACCTTGCGATCGTTACGCATAGTTTATTATACTGGTCGGAATCAATTTTTAGTGGACGGACATATAATGGCATGATGATTTATTTTGAGATGGAAAAACAGTTTTTACACTGCCAAATATTCTTTTGAACTATATAGATTTTCGAAGCCAATGAAGAATTGTTCAAAACTATAAGAACAGTATGATTCTTTGCAGTAGGTGCTGAGAGAAGACGTGATATTGGACCATAATATCGTACTCAGTATATTATACTCTACTTATAGTTAGTTAACTTGTACTTATAGATAGTAACTAGTTAAAAAAATTATAATTGAGCATTTTAAACTAGTTACTTTAAGCATGATTCAAATTTCTATATATGTATCTCCGGGACACATTACATTATAACTAAGTCTATGTATTCCTGCATTATATCAAATATTTTGCTTAATCGTATAAAATTGGAGTTACAGTTTCAAATAATTACCAAAGACAAAATATAAACTTCAAAATCTTTTTGGTACTTTTGCACCTGGCTTCAATATACCAACAAAAAAAAAANAAAAAAAAAAAAAAAAAAAAAAAAAAAAAAAAAAAACACTAACAAAATACACAAATATTTCGCTTCAATTTACCAACAAAAGTTTATTTTTTATTCATGCACAGCTATCTTTTATTTATCCAGGAAGCTATTTCGACAAGTTTAAATGATTCATTTGCGAAATCGAAATAACTCATCTCCCTTGGAAAGTTTTTTGCCGCTTGACAAATATACCAATCTTGAGCGAGCGCAGTCATTAAAGAGTAGAAAAAGAAAAATCTCATTTTGAAACGAAATATACCTATCTACTTTCCAACTCCAAAAACCACCAGCTGACGTTCCCCGTAGGATGTTTCTCTTTAACGAAGAATAATAGCGCCCCGTTACAGTCCCAATAGCAGGGGCGCGAAAAGACAGGGGCTTAAATATTCATCGGGGTCCATTAGCTGGAGATTTGGAAAGACGATTGCTCTGGTGGTAAAAGTTATCGATAGCGCCGACTGAAGTTTTCTTGCTCGAGCCCCGTCTGCACACCGTTTAGCGCAGTTACCGCAGCTTTGGTTTCCTCTTGGGCACAGTTTTCTCAAAGATTATCGGAAAGAAGCTTTTCCTTTTTTTTTCAGTACCAGTCCAGTTTTGTTACGGTTGAGATTTATTTCAGTTTAGGATAAGGGTCAGCAAAAATTGTCTTTTCTAACCCCAAATCTGCGAAGAAATTTTTTTTTTCCAACTGCACTTTACCATTTAAATTCCTAAGAGAGAGGTCTTAGGAATTTCTCACTTGTCAGGGAGGTGATTTTTGAACAAACCCAAGAAACTGTTGGTTTCCAAATCATTGTTTCTTTTTATTTTCTAGTAATTTTTCATAATTTCATTCTCTTGCGAATTTCATATCTTTTTGGGATGCAAACTTCATTCATTTATCATTTAAATGTACAGTAGC